CCCCACAAACGTGCCCATACTAATGTAAACACGGCCTATGTACAAAAACGACGATTCTGCTACACATAATGGGTATCACCGCATGTGCCAGGGTGAGAGCAACCATTTTAGGGCCAATATTCATGGTTAAATTATCGTCTATTTTGTTGCTGTTTCACAGCAAATTTTAAGCTTGGCAAGTTGGGTATCTATTTACTCAGCACAACCTTTTATATTTTACAAAAAAATTGGGTATTGTATTTTTGTGCACTAATATTAACTTAAGTGTAATTTGTACTGAAATGTTGAGTTTAATACAGAATTGAACTTATATTATGAAATGTAAAAATTTGCATCTGCTGCCATTTTATTCTACAGTGTCTGTGCTTTCAGTAACTATATAAATCTTGGGAGTTTTAAGTAATTTTCAGGCTCCAAATGTGGAGTATAACATGCATGCAAAAAATGCAAAAAATGCAAAAACCGCCTTTGCAGCAAAACGGTTAAATGGTTCTTGGGTGTTATGGAAGCTTCTTTTAACTATCTTGGATCTGTTCTTGTGGCAAAAAAATGCTGCCTCATTAACCTTATTTTTAAAAATGTTCACAAAAAGAGTCAAAAGGCAGTCAAAAAAATAGAACATATAGGCACAGTGTACAATTAATGATTTTATTCTCCAAAAAAAATCAAACCAAATACAAAAACCACTAAATAAAATAAGTAAACAAAATACACACCACAAAAATCACTGCTGCATAAAGAAAAAAAAGCAAATTTAAGCAAATGTTTTTAAACACCTTCATGCACTAAATTGAGAGCTTCTGCTTTGCCAAAATTTACAGATAATGAAATCAACAATTCACACTGCAATTGATCCACTTATCTCTACTTCCAAATCTCTTAGAGAGCCTCCTGTCCTGATGGATCTGGGCCAAGTACTCTTTTTGTACCTTCTGAGGTTTTGTTGTAGTCACAGCCCAATAGCGTGATTTTTCTTTATATGTACTCATATTTTTTTCTTGAGCTATATAATTTGGATATGAATCCATCAACTATTTCTCTTCCTTTACTAAATTAATTCTGTAAAAATAGCTTAAAGCTATTTTGCAATAAAAATCAAACTGAGTGAACATAAGGAAACTGGCTTATGAGGTGTACTTTTCTAAGTATTATTTCACAATAAATATTATTCTGTACATGGTCCAAACTCCCTGTACCATTCTTTAATCCAGACGACAGGATGGCCTAAAGCTACAAAATGAGAAAGTAGTTGGAGATTAAATTTAAACAATCAAAAGAACTTTCCCAATCTTTAAATATCCATTACCTTCCAGCTATTAAATAAAAGTGTCTGGGGAGGAATTATATGAACTTTGTAAATATAAAAAGTCAGCGTACTTTGATATCAATAAACCTGGGGTTTAAAAGGCCTCACAAGGTTATGGAATGGAATTTAGCATAATTAAACATGTTTAAAGGAAATGGAGTAAAAGTAAGCTCCTGTGAAATGTGAAAACCCATATCCATTCTAAACTGTGATTTTATTTTGGATAGAGCAGGGAAGGGTTAGAGCTTCTGTCAGATATTCTTCCCTTTGTGTACATGTTGGGAGATTTACTCTTATTCCTTTCAGGTCAAGAATGGGTGGGACATTTCTCCAACAGGGACAAAATAAAAATATAGTTTAATAGTGTGAAAAATTGTTAGACATTCTTACAATGTTTGCTGTTTCTACTCATGTCTTCCTGCTCCATCCATTTCCTGTACAGGCATCAAAGCAACAGGAAGTAAAGGAACATCTCCCCAATGGAATCAAATACAGAAATATAAATCAGATAGAAATACTTACTCTCATCCACGTTATTTAAAAAACAAATCCTGGAGTTAGGCTGTACTCTAAAGTTAAACTGTTAGTGTGATCGAAGGGGAGGCACCTAAAAGTGCCAGCACATATCTGGAGGCCATTTTCATGTGAATCCTGATTCCCTTCACTTGCACCTCACTATTTGTCAATTAGGTTGTCAATCATATCTAAAGTTGCATATACGTGGTTATAATTTGGTATGGACTTTCACATGAAAAATCTTGTCAGAACGTTTGATAATGCTATCAGAGACTTGTTAATTGTTGTTTGAAATTTTGTTTGATTTAACATTCAATTTTGGAATTAATGGAGTTTCTCCAATGAAAACCCACATACACTGTTAGAGTATTATTTGTTAGAATATAGTAAAATTTTCCCTCCTCCTTCAGTATTTTATGTCAAGGTTGGTTGAAATTGCAAAATTGAAAGTGAAATGAAAAAGGTATTTATACATAAGAGGAGCTTGAAAAAACAAGGGCAGCCTCTGTTGCTGCTCCATTACCAGAGCCCCTGAGTAGCTTAACAGGCATAAAATAATGAGTATCAGAAGATACCACTGCTGTTGAAGATGCCAGTTTCTATGATGTACCTCAGGAGGAAGATGGATAATATGAAATCACCTGCACTCCATACAGCGTACAGACCTTGGATAAGAGGTTGGTGCATGAAGGGACAACATGGATGGAGCCGTGTCAGATACAGTCCATAATAGAAGTCACCAGCACTCGATGATATGTGCAAGAAGTAAAGCACTTTTTATTGAATCGTCACATGCGTCTAACAGCCAACGTTTCAGGGCGACGCAGGGTCCCTTCTTCTGGGCGACATAGTGACCGACGCAGACGATACACACCAGTGGACATGGTGCTGGAAAAGCCATAGTCAGATGCAGGCCAGGTCGACAACGTGCAGACAGTACAGTACCAGCAAGCAGACAAGAGCATGGTCAGGAAACAATCCATGGTTGGTAACATGCAGGCAGCAGAGTATAAGACAGCAGGCAGAAGTAAGGTTGAGGGACAGGCAATGGTCATAGGATTTCGGAGCAGTGGAAAAATGGTTGAAACAAATTGGGTCATTATTGGATGATGAGAGTCAGACTACCCGATCTTGTATTCACAGAGTAGTTAAAGATCACGCAGCACTGGAGGCCTGAATGGCACAGCCTAAATAGCCAATCTGGTGTCACAATTCCTAGCGCATATGCCGTGGGATGTACGTGCAGACACACACATACCTGCACAGTGGTACATGGCCAAGCATGATTCTCTGAGCCAAACCAAGTGTGAACTCATGCTTCTTGGCAATACCGCTATCAAATATGACAGCTTCCTGCTATCAATGGTTGCTAAGGAAGTAGTGGGTGTCTGCACCTGGCGCATCCTTAGAAATCACCGATGTCACCTGGGAATCATCAGCAATGTAAGTATGTAATGATGTCACGTGGTGACATCATTGCCCAAATATAGCCATGGCCATATTTAGTCAAGGATGTTACCAGTATGCCCACCCCTTTCCTTATTTTACAGATGACAGCTCAGAAAGTTGTCATTCGGCCAGGGTCCATTGATGTGAGTGAATGAAGCAGGAAAGAATGAAAAATCTCCCGTGGAGGCGGGCAATTCTCTCCTGCTTCCTCCTCCCTTTTTTTCCCCTGTGTTTGGAACCCATTTCTTGACCATGTTTTGGATCCACAGCAGTTGTGGGGTAATATATATATATATATTTTATCTTTATTATGTACTAGATGACACTGCACATCCTATGCTATATTGGGTAAACTTATTATCTATTATATTTCAAGTAATAGCAAGTACTATATATGCGCTGTATCTGGATTTGTCTCTTTGATATATGCAAAGCATATGTATGCAAAAAGTGTTTTTAAAAGATGGAGATAATAATATACAATATGTTAATCCATAGATACGTACGTGAGGTTCCTGAAGAAGCCAGTTGGTGTGAAACGCGTCGAAACTCAGAATAACCTGCCACATACGCTATTTTTTGAATGGGGGTATTAGATATGTATATGGTTGCTCATCCCATATCTACTGTGTATTTTCCCTTGGTTTTCACCTGGTGATACGGCCAGTAACACACATACTGTCCTAGGGTGGCTCCACTCTGTGAAGGAACAATGGAGCCACCTTTGGACGGCGGCATTGTCAACCTTTAGATTTAGATGGACATGACTAACAAGCTAACATTTTTTAAGCAGTTACAACAATATTTTCGGTTTTCTGTTGGGATACATTTTTACATAAATGAATAAAATCTGACCATTATAAGCACCCCTGTCAGTGTTAAATGGTTTGTCTCAACTTTTGCTGGACAGCTTGGTCTGTTAAAGGAAGTTGAACAATTACAGACTCATGGGCCAGATCACTAGATGAAAATAATGGAAAAAAAGCTTAGAAAAGAAAACTAACATCTAAGGATATACAGTCAGTTAAGATAAATATTATCACAAAGCTGTTTATTTTTGGGAAGATATTTATTTTTCTACATTGATAGTGAATGCAGTTCTTCCCCCACATTTGTACGCATTTCAAGCACCAGCCACTGTTGAATAATATATCATCTGGCATACTTAGATATTAGACAAGGGGTGGGGAGGGCCTCACAGTCCACCTCTGTTTTAAATGTTACAACTATTATCAGTCTTGGAGTTGTTACAGGCTGAAAAAGTGGGAGGAACAGTACAAACAGAATCCATGGATATGCAAAAATAATAAATTGATAGAACTTTTTAGGTTAAGTATTAACAGAACATCATTTAACAAATATTGTGCTTTGAATTTTTTTATGTGTATGTAACAAATTCCACTTTTTTTAATCCATCCACATTGTTAGCCAAATGAATAGACAAAAATGGCCTTCATGTGGATTGTTATGTATTTTGTTTACCACTGGCAAAGTGTAACATCATGTAGCACTTTGGTTTTCAAAGAAACGGGGCCAAAACTAATTATTCATTTTGTGTGAAAAAATATTTTGGTAAGCCAAATTCAAAACAAGACAGATAATTGTAATTTTTAAAAACATGCAGTGGGTGTTTTTTTAAGCAATTTTAGCTGTGTTATGGAGCTTGGGCACATATGGAAATGTGGAAATGTTTTCAACTTCACAGGCAAACAGAGAAAAAAGTGCTGGGAGCAATTATACACCCATGGATGGTCTCTTCCTATCTGGATATAGCACTATGCCTCATTGAACTAATTAACGGAAAGCTTCAATGACATGTGTTTATATTATTTTTACCAGGAAGACATAAATGAAATATGCACTCATTTTCAAGTATGTCCTTAATACTACTGAATTACAATTCATTAAGATGTATATAATTTCAACCTACATCCACGTTTAATCAGTTGGTTTACTTCAATGAATAGAAGGCATTTATCAAAAGCGGTACACTGCCATGAATATTTATTTATTACATTTCTTGCAATAGCATCTTAATAGTGCTGAGTGCTTCACATTTTAAAAGAGACTGTGAGCTGAAAAATACAGCTAAATAATGCTAATTCATTTTTTTTTACTGGTTGAGCATTCAGTCCATCGCGTGATTATTACTAGAATGAAACAGAAGGAAGAATGGAAAACCTAATCAGTTTAAATATAAACAAGACAAAGGTTAATTATGGACATTCCTGGAAGCCTCCTCTGTGTGTGTGTGTCTGAATTAATTTTGTTTCGTTACTAGGGGCCTAACCTCCGTGACTTCAGTACTAAACTTCACCAATGTCTGTTTCCCTAACCAATGCGATAATTCCTTTTAGCCATTAACTATGTATGTAGACAGGAAAATGACATAGGCAAATCAGGTAGATTCTTCTTATAGTTTGTTTGAAGTCACATATCATAAAACAGCCAAAGCGTTTTGGGGGATCAGAGGGTCCCCTTCATCCAGGGCTAAATGAAATGTGTCCTGGACAATTGTAATTAGAAAAATCTTGAAAAGTACACAACAAATGTGTTTTTCCTATTACCTTAACTAGTACCGTATTCTTTAGCAAGCACAAGTAAACTTAAACACTAAATATGCCTAAATATTTCCAAAAATAGACTTTTGACTATGAATTGTATGAGATAAAATCACCTTCTCAAGAATTTTCTCATCAGCCCTTTAAACATTTCACACTGATCATCCTTCTTGAATCTGAGCTAAATGCATTCAACTACAAGGATCAAACCCAAAAAGGTTAAGTAGTATTTAGCAGTCAGGTTTTTATCTTCTGCAGCTCCAATAATTATGCCTCCTGTAATCAGGTCAGATGGATGGAGGTATATCCTCCAAAAGCTTCATCATATGTACCCTGTTTTTCTTAATCTGCACTAAATAAACAGGATTTATGTCCACTGGAACATGAAGAGCTCCTTGGTCTTTTTTTTGTTTTCCTGAGTTTGCATGCCTTCGGTAGCAGTAGTGAACCAAAGATGCTACCTGCTGAGAAAGAAGCCTTACTTCCGAATTTGTGCTCTGGTGACAATGGTTATAAAAGGTTGATTTACTAAAGACAAATAGACTGTATGCTTTGGAAGGGAATTTCTCTTGCTCAACCCACCCTCTTAGTATGAGAATAGGGGAACACTATTGTGATGTAATGAACCCCAATGCCCTCTGCCCATCAAATGTTTCGAAACATTTTCTTTGCATACATGGGGTAATAAGGCTTTCTTTTTAGAGAAAAAGTTTCCACTAATATTATAGAAAGGAACATACATTGTAAGCTCTTAGAAAGGGAAACTTGGTGGATTTTTACATTGCTAACATATATACCACTCAGATTAAATCATCAGTGGGGTGTAAGCATGTATTCAGAATTATTTCTATAGGCAGTTTGAGATCAGTGTTCTATTCAGGTTCATTTGTTTCTCTCTTTGAGAATTTGAGTATTTGAGACATTGGGGTTGATTTACTAACCTTTTAAACACACCACGAACGTGTATACACCTCTGTAGTGTGTTCCCTCCCAGGATGATCTATGGGAGGAATCGAAACACCTTTGTAGTGTGTACACACCCAGCAGTTGTGTTGTGCAAAGCCCTGCAATGAATTGCAAGGTAATGTGGTGTAAATTAGCTCTATGTTATGTTGCTTGCGTTGATGAATGCAGGAATGTAAATGCATGAGCTAACCATTTTTGTCTAAACTGTGAAGCAGCATTATATATGCATCATGTGCATGATTTTTCCATATATGGCATTAGTGGAAATATGCTTTTAGAGACTTTTTGGTTGATAAATACGTTTTGCTGTGTGAAAATCACACACACCTGGTGCGTGCGTGTGTTTAGGTTAGTAAATCACCCCCATTGTATTCATATCTGTTTATATTTATTTGGTTTGAATTCATTTATAAATTAATACTATGGCTCATTCGGCTCTACCATTCTATACCATGTTACAACCTTCATCTGAGCCACTAATCTAACAAATGGAGGGAGGTGGTATGCATTTATTATGTGAAGTTGGTGTCTACTTCTCGGAGCACAGTCCGGGAATATGACATTTTAGCTGCTTGTGGATCTGTGCTCTGACACTTGACGCCTGCAACATATGTGCCTTTCTCTACAGTCTCTACAGTCTCTGTGTTTGAGCTTGCTTTGGACTTCTTTTCTTATATACTATATCTTAGTGTGTAATGTTGTTTGATACTATTTTACCCCCCTCCGGAGTTGAATGGGGAGTGTGTATAATGCTGTGATTAAGGCCCAGATTGTGGACTGAAAGGCATCCACAGTTTGTTACTTGATGTCCTTTTATCTGCTAACATGGAATAGAAGTTTTTTAGCCCGCCCTGAAACAATTGGTTGCACATTTGGAACAAGAGGCAGGCATTCAAGCTATACAGTTAAAAGGGTAGCATGTGACTGTGAACGGAGGGAGTGGCTAAATTGCTGAAACAGTGCAAGGGATGTAAAGTGGTATGGTTAAATAAAGCCAAGCCTATGCTGCTTTGTGTCAAGAGTGCTTAACACACAAGAGTGCATGGTTCAGGAGTTTGTAACACCAAAAATGCAAGGGTCAGGAATGTGCAACACAGAGTGCAGGGTTCAGGAGGGTATAACACACATAATGAGACATGTGGTAACCTAATATACCATTTCTCTTACTCTGTGTGTTAAGCACTCCTGACCTCGGCACTCTGTGCGGCTGTGCTAGAATCCAGCACCCCAGCTCCCTGCATCCACGCCCAGACAGCATTAATTCCGCTGCTCAGGGCTCCTCCTTTATATTGCCCCCACTCCTCTGTATGCTTTGCTGAATCCCAAAAATGAACACAAGCTTCTGGTCCCATTTTCTCCTGCTTCTCACACCAGCTCCTACCATCTGACCTCCTTCCCCCAACCTCTCTGGCAGTGCTACACACACAGACCAGAACTGACCAACAGGAGGACTCTTTCTCCAGAGGATCTGCATGTGAGTGGGGGAGCTGCTGCTAATTCCAAAGCAAGGAGAAGAAGAAGGTAAGGCAACAAGGCTTCGGAGGCTTGCAGGAGGTCCACAATCACTGTGTAGTTGGAGCACATCGATAGAAGATGACCAGCACACAAGCTGCTCA